GCATCAACAAGAAAAAAGGAGAAAAAGCCTTCACTCAGAAAAACATTGGGAAGCCTGTTTGGGTTCAAGTTTGCTTTGGCCGTATTTTGCAAGCTGTTACACGATGTGCTCATTTTCATACAGCCTCAGCTTTTAAAGTACAGTGTTACCTTTCATTAAATTTGTTGGACAAATAAAGTTAACCTAGATTCAGAATCTAAAGTACTGTAGGTACAGCTGTAGATGAATGGTTGATAAATAATCCTTTCTTTTCATACAAGGTGTACTGCTTTATATTTCAGATTTGCACAACATTTTCAATTGTTTTTAGTTATGCTAGAGAGAGCACTGTCCCTCACCTTCCTTCAGTCCAAAAATCTTAATTAAAAGGTTCAAGATCAAATACACACACATTGATGATAATTATGTGGAATATTTACATGTAGAAGAGTACAATGATGAGGACTCGACAAAACCTTTTCAACTGATTAGCCAAGTGGCTAGTGACAACTTAGATGTTATGACAATTCAGTTTGTTTACTAGCTAAACTTGGCTGGTGGAAATCGAAAACCACTGGCCAAAACCGAATTTCTACTAGTCTGTGGCTAGTTGGCTTCTGTTACTGTCGAGCCCTGGTGATGTAGTTTAAATGGGGTTACAACTTGTATTTATAAATATTGACCACTAATTGACAGTAATTTATGTTATTTTAGTTAATCAAAGAACTGGTTATTGTTCTCAAGGTTATTAGTTGGCTATACTGAAGACAAGGATGACATGTTTGGTCCATGGAAAGAGTGGAAGGGTTATGCGTATGCAGGGACGATGTTTGGAGTAGCTATCATTCAGTCCTTGGCACTTCACCAGTATTTTCACATTATGATACAGATTGGCTTGAGGATGCGCACAGGCATCATTGGATTGGTTTATGAAAAAGTAACTGAGATGCTTGTTAGTTGGAAAATGTAATGGGGAGATATGTTACTTTGTTTGTTCTCCTGGTTTCTGCTAGTCATTCTTGTATATGCATTAGTAATGCATGTTGGTAAATGTTTGAGAGTATGATTCATTAATATTTCCATAAGGTCGTAGTAGTAGCAAGTATGATATTAAGTATTGTAAGAAATAGACACCTTTTTTGAGAGACATTTTTCGGAATGCTTATGCCATCTTCAATCAATGAGTAACTGAACGTGAGTAATTATATAGCAGACAAGTAGATGAATAAAATATGTACAGTGTGATGTCTCTCAAAAAAGTTGTCTATTTCTTACAATGATTCAAAATATTTTGCACCTTTTAAGTATTTTCTCCAATTTTTAATCACCTCACTCAAGTTTTAAGAAGAAACATACTGGTGGGACAAGTGGCCAAAATATACCCAATAATAACTTCAAAATATATTTCTGTATTCACATACAGAGTATGTAGTACCCCTGTACGAATTAATTCCAGCAGAAGTGCCATGGTCTGTGAGGAGGTACTTTGCGCAGAGCATTCACATTCACTCTGTGGTT